CTGCCCTACAATTTAAGAAGTACTAATATAATGTAAGGTGGCCATACTGTATTATCTCTTCTCTTATTTTTTGGTTTTCTTTACACTGAAGAAAGTTCTACATTCTCCACAGAAACAGCCTAATGCAGGCTGTTCCTGTGGAATGGATACCTAGTTTGTTGCCTAGATTTTATTGCAGGGTTTACTCTATGTTGCCTTTTAAAAGATAGATTCACCTTTTAAAATTTGATACTGTAACATGTGCTTTTTAATTTACTCTATTTTTTGCATTTTCTCTCTCCAGGAGTGTCGAAGGAATGAAATGCTGCTGTCAAAGCTGAATGAAAGGGGTGCACTGTAGCTGTCCCATGATTTTGTTGCTTACAGAATAACTGTATATGTATGTCCTTTTTCATTAGAAACAAATATTTCTTTCTCCACATGAAATACAGACGTGCAGAAGTCTATTACACATTGCATTTTACTGGAAACTCCTTGTGCTGCAGGATGAATTTTATATTGTGTGGATTTTTTTTAAATACATTTTCAAGATATTCTGACTATGGCTATAATCAATAAACAATCTTAAAAATTGTAGTCTGTTTATTTCTCCGTAACTTGACAAACTCACAAATTCAGATGTTCATATACATATTCCCACGTTTCTTCTTAAAAAACGTTATTAGCTGCCTGTCCACACCGCTGCTTCAGATCATTAATACCTCCATTCTCATAGGCACTTTTCTTAGCTGCTTTAGGACCACTGTTGTGAAACCGCCTCTGAAGAAACCTAAGTTGGATCAACATTCTCTAAACAGTTATAGGCCCATCTCCAACCTCTTATTTATAAGTAAAGTTCTGGGAAAGTTGTCTTCAAACAGCATTCTGACTATGGCTATAATCAATAAACAATCTTAAAAATTGTAGTCTGTTTATTGAAACCGCCTCTAAAGAAACCCAAGTTGGATCAACATTCTCTAAACAATTATAGGCCCATCTCCGACCTCCCATTTATAAGTAAAGTTCTGGGAAAGTTGTCTTTCAACCAATTCCTAGCCAAAATAAATGACATTCTGGAGAAATTTCAATCAGGCGTCAGAGCAAATCACAGTACTGAGACTGCCTTAACCAAGAATCAGTGGTCTTAGACTCTTAGTACTGCTGCAAACAAAGTCTCTGTTCTGGTCCTCCTTGACCTAAGTGCAGCCTTCGACACAATCTACCATAATATACTAATTGACTGCCTAAAATCCTGGGCAGGACTGACTGGCCATGCCAAATTGGTTTAAATCATATATCACAAGAAGACAGTTCTATGTTAGCATTGGACATCATGTTTCCATCAAATACGATGTGCCTTATGGGGTTGCTCAGGGCAGCTGTCTTGGCCCATTCCTATTCTCTCTCTATATTCTCCCTCTGGGCAACATCATCATGGAAAGCAACATTAATTTTTATAACTACACCGACGACACACAATTATACATCTCGGTTGAGCCTAATGGAACTTTTCCATCAAATACGATGTGCCTTATGGTGTTGCTCAGGGCAGCTGTCTCGGCCCACCCCTATTCTCTCTCTATACTCTCCCTCTTGGCAACATCATCAAGGAAAGCAACATTCATTTTTATAACTACACCGACGACACACAATTAAACATCTCGGTTGAGCCTAACTGAGCCACGGCCATATACACCTTAAACACATGCCTATCAGCTTTGTCCAATTTGATGAGTAATAATTTTCTAAAACTAAATGAAGAAGATAAAACCGAAATTCTACTCATCATTCTACTCATAAAGAAAGACGTGAGGCTCAAACCGTCACATTAAGAATGAGGTAATTAGCTTAGGTTTTTTATAACTACACCGACGACACACAATTAAACATCTCGGTTGAGCCTAACTGAGCCACGGCCATATACACCTTAAACACATGCCTATCAGCTTTGTCCAATTTGATGGGTAATAATTTTCTAAAACTAAATGAAGAAGATAAAACCGAAATTCTACTCATCATTCTACTCATAAAGAAAGACGTGAGGCTCAAACCGTCACATTAAGAACGAGGTAATTAGCTTAGGTTTTAGTTTTGGACCCCACATAAATAAAATAAAAACAACCGCCTACTTCCGTCTTAGGAATATCACAAAAGTATGCGCCTTTGTCTCTCAACAAGGGGCTGAAAAATTAGTACACACATTTGCTACAAGTAGATTAGATTACTGTCACGCCCTCTTTTCAGGCCTCCCAAAAAAAAGTCAATTCAAAAACTCCAGCTCATCCAAAACTCGGCTGCAAGAATTCTAAAAAAAAAAACCCGAAAGAGGGAACACATTACCCCTATACTGGCAGACCTTCATTGGCTGCCGGTCTCCTTTAGAATTGACCTATTAATACTTATTTGATACTGTTGGTAGTCTTCAAATCTATAAATGGCCTAGCCCCGTACTATATCTCCGACACACTGTCACTTTATAACCCTGCTCAAACCCTCAGATCGGCTACAGCCCGCCTGATCCTCCACACAAGAAGATAGGGGAAGCAGCCTTCGTCCCATTACGCACCCAAAAGATGGAACACCTCACCACAACACATCAGGGAGGCCCCATCCATCCTCATCTTTAAACAACTACTAAAAACCCATCTCTTTACCCTCGCCTACTGGTAGCAGCACAAATCCATCAGCTGACATCCGCAAGCAGCCGGCAGATGACTACCCCACCACCACCACCTCCTGGACTCCCGGTTGAAAGCCATACCAGCCCAGGCAGAGGGCTCCCCTGTGGGCCGCTGGATCTGCCTGAGGTTTCTTCCTAGAGAAAGGGAGTTTTTCTTCACCCCCCCTCCCCCCTTGCCCCCAGGGGACATTAGCTGAACCACTTGGCATGACCCTGTCTTTTAGTTTGTCAAACTGTTAAAGCACTTTGAGCTGCATGACTGTATGAAAAGTTATTACTATTATTATTATTATTATTATACACTATCACTTATATAATAAACATATACATTTTGAATTCAAAATTATAAATGATTCGTATGACACAAATTTATATGGTTCATACCCTGCATTCCTAGTTGAAATATAAGTATACATGCAATTTAATCTAACAACAATATTTTGGAGAATTTACCATTCACATAATCCCAAATATGGGTTTATTTTGTTTAATAAAATATGCAGTACATTAACCAGGTTTTTAATGATGTTGCATATTGTCATTTTAATGATTGCTCATTTAAGGGGACTAAAACACTGTCAGTGGGTGTGTTGAACTTCACAATAATCACAACTAAGCAATACTTCTCTCTGTGAAACTATAGATTATACTACTCTCTCTATCTTTTGCAGTATGCAAATATAAATAGAAAAGACAAACATAGAAATGTGAACCATTCCGTGCTGACGCGGCTGTGGCTGCAGGGAGACGTCAATATGCAGTTTCGGAGGCAACCTATTGGTGGCAGTAATAAGTTATTAGGTGAGTTTCATACCAGGAAGAAACAACAAAGAATCAGGAGCAGTTGTGTCCGCTGCTGTACTCGGTCGGAGTTTATTATCTAAAACAACATGGCGACCTCCTTGCTGCGATCATTTCGACTTAATTCGCTCAAGGTAATGGCAGCACAACTCTTCCTTGTTTGTAGATACTATCGGAGCGGTTTACCAAGATTACACAGAGATTAGTTGTGGAATATGAAGGGGCACTCTGACCTCAGACACCATTACCTCGCCATCTTTCACCTTTGTATCTGACGTATGTAGTAATATATATAAAATCCCGACATTATATTGACTGTGAGTCATGAGATCTACATTTTCTGGAAAAATTCGGACTTTGGAATGAAAAAAAAAACACTTAATTTATTGTCTTATTTAAACACATCTACCAAGTCATTTGCAGTGCCTTGGCTTCTTAAGGACCTTTCACCTGTCGTCCAAGATGTGTCTTCAGTCCTAACGGACTGCTGAACATTCTAGCATTTAGCCACACACCTGAAAAGAGAATAAAACAATACATTGTAAAACAAAGGAGGACCTTAATCATTACTGTAAAAAATTAATGAGTCACCAGGGTCCAGGTGTGTTCCGTCCTTTCCCATCAAAAGAAAATAACCGGGGATGGCAGAACTCAAAAATACGACATACTGTGTACATCACGGATCATCATGTGTTGAGTAAATACCTAATTTTTCGCAGGTTCTAGTTTGTTTGATGCAAAGAATGTGAAACTAAAGTTTGATTTGGGTACAGGGACTTTCCTCTTTGTGTATTATTTTAGTTTGTTTCTTTGCAGTGGTAAAGGGCTTTAGCCATGTTCCCAGCATGAGGCTTAAGCTGTTAATCATAGCGTCTTCACTGACACCAGTCATTTGCGCTAACAAACAACTGAGGGCATTGTTGAGCTGAGGGGTGGAAGGCATGGCAGGTATTAAACGTTTGGTATGAGCAAGCATTAACACAGGTGTCAAACTCAGGCCAACAAACCAAATCTGTACCATGGTTTAATTATATTTGGGCTATGAGAACAAATCAACTGTGTATTAGAGGGAGAATTTACCATTCACATAATCCCAAATATGGGTTTATTTTGTTTAATAAAATATGCAGTACATTAACCAGGTTTTTAATGATGTTGCATATTGTCATTTTAATGATTGCTCATTTAAGGGGACTAAAACACTGTCAGTGGGTGTGTTGAACTTCACAATAATCACAACTAAGCAATACTTCTCTCTGTGAAACTATAGATTATACTACTCTCAATCTTTTGCAGTATGGACATATAAATAGAAAAGACAAACATAACAATGTGAACCGTACCGTGCTGACGCGGC